GCCCAGACAGAAGAACAGGCGGCTGAAAATTAGGTTAGGTTGAAAGCATGAGGTCCTTCTGTCTAAGTTTAGGATTCCTATTTAAAGACCGGATCAAATTATGGCTAGTAAATAATTGCATTAAATTTTTAAATAAGACTGTATACAAGACCACATTCATCAATTAATAAAGCCACACGGTACCAGGGATTCGGAGAAATGATTCGCATTGGCACACACTATCTGCGGACGTTCCTTCGTCGGGTCTTGTGTTACGGAGGGCATGGCTTGGGTCTGGCCTGTGCTCGATGGGCTCGTTGACGACCAGGAGACCGGCGACAATAGCCGATAGACAGGCCAAGGCCGTGGACGAAGCGTTGGCGGAGGAGGGAATGGCGAGCACTGGGTTGGGCGAAATCGATGTGAGCACATGACCCAATGATTCGATTAGCCACTCCTACAACCGGAAGGAAGATGACCTAAGTGAGATTGGTTCGCTATAATAATTATTATAACGTTCGCATCAGATACAGCGCACTCTGAAAGTAAGCTCATAAGAGTATACTACTTTAAGTAGTATCCAAAAATCCGATACAAGTAATCCTTATGCCGAAAGACAACTGGTCGAGAGGATCTATTTGTTTGTGAAATTAGAAAGAGCGTTGTCTCAAAGCTATTAAGAGGCTGATTGTAGAAAAGTATGTTAGCTACGACTAATATTTTGTTGGACAGATAGAAAATATGCAAATCTGCTTGCTATCAGGTGAGGTCAATTTATGAATTCTCTCCATTCTTCTCTTTAAACGAAATGAAAGATATGCCAACATCAATCTATGAAGGGATTCATAGAAAATTTTTTTTTGTTCATACCTACGAAATACATACTGACACCAAAATTTATGAGTTTCGTCATAAAACATTCCTCGGTATTACTTTAATTTCCAGAAAATTCTGACCCTCTTTCAAGATCTGGCTGTGATAAAAGTTTGTGTTCATACGATAGTGCATATATGGGAGACCCGTAGGCCCATACACAAGAGGTAATATAAAAAAAGAATCAACCTGCAAGGGTGTTTGGTTTTAAGATTGGAATTGGCCTATCACATAGCTCGCACAGGACACCAGATAGATTGGTCTAATGTCAAGCGCTAAGTGAAAACTACTTCTAGGTATGGTGGAAAACTGGGTTTCGAAGAATCCCTTAATAGATTAATGTCGGATTACCTTTCTTTTTGTTTGAAGAAGTTAGTGAAAGATATTCGTAAGTTAGTTTCACCTGAAGCTGTCAGGGAAATGTGATTATAGATTTGTGCTAATAGGTCGTCTGCGCACCACTGAGGTAGCAGGGGTTCGCAGGGCGGTGCGCTGAGGACATATTCGCACAAATTTACAATCATAGCTCCAAAGTAATCCCCTTACAGCTTCCAGTGAGGCCAACTTACGAATCCCTTCCACTCGCCTCTTCAGACGAAGTGAAAGTTACTCCAGCATCAATCTATTAAGGGATTCCCCAAAACACCATTTTTCAACAACTCTTAGCTTAGACGATTTCTTTAAGCTGCAAATAATGGCAGATAAATTATATTATATTTTTTCAACAGGTTAGGATTAAGCATAATTAAAAACTTAAAAATTTTGATAGAAAATTCAAGAAGGGGAGCTATAAAAGGAATGTTAAAGGTAAATATTAAGAAATTAAGTAAAGCAAGCAAGAAAGTGGTAAGCTAACCCAAAAAGTTACCACCAAAGGAGGAGCCAATTTTCTTATACGTAGACAGAGAGGTGGCAATTTTAAATAAGGAATTCTTATGAATTCGTTAAGTTAGTTCATGAACAGAGGATATAAAGTGGAAATTTACCTGTAAGTTTTGCTGTAGGGTCAAATAAATTAGAAGCTTGCCTGGTCTGCTAACCCGCAGGTGTACGATTCGTGTCACACAAAGATTAAACCTTTTCGTCACTTCGACGTGAGCAGGTTCGCCATCAGTCCATCAAGAAACGAGTTAAAACCGGCACACCTCAGAAATTAGTTTACTTTGAGAAATAAGCCTTCTATTAAGAAGCCGTCTGCTCGATAGCAGAGGATCAAACTGTGAAGAACATCAGCCTGAAGACTATTCCCAAGGCTTATGTACAGCTTTAGACACCCAGCCTACCAACGCCTATAACGAAAGGGAGATCAGAACAAACTGGGTCACTATGTAGTGCGCTATTTTTTGTTGGTAAAAGTAAAAAGGGAGTTAAACAGAGAGACAAAATGAAGTAGAACTATTCGAGTGAGACAATAGGGGACCAAAAGTTGCAGACCGGGAGGAGAAGATTAGAAAAGAGCGGTGGTCACTTTAATGGGGTGCAAAATGAAACTATGTTGATTAATACTAATAGGCATGGACAAGACGCCCTTCAATCATCAGAGGTGGCTGGTGGACTTATGGAAGCCCTGACTCTGTGTAGACAAGGCGCATGTAATGACTTATCTCCATCAGCCGACTGATGAAACTAAAAGAATTGGCACAAACTAGAAATACGTGCTCATGTTCTAAAAGGTGTGCTGAAGATAAGATAAAGAGAAGTCACAAAATGCATCCCGAAATATATGTTTACTTGCTAAAAATACCATGGAAGAAAAGTTTATTTCTGCTTAGTTGCTATAAGTAAGTAGGCTTTCGACTCATATATCTACTATAAGTCAAAGGCAGAACTAGCAGATAGATTAAAATGAATGAGAATTCAATATGTAGTCAGTAGGTCGAGGGATTTGGGATACATCGATGCCAACCAGGATACTTGTCTATAAAGGCGAACTTAAGAGACACCACCAAGAGGTTTCAATTCCTTACTAGCAGACATAAGTTAGAAATCAAGATCTAGCCATTAACTTCCAGAATATTGTGGCTTGTTCAACTGGTCGGTATGGGAAGAACTGTAGCCTAATGCTATTAGATTCCTATAGATTGGATGGAAATACAAACGAAACCAGTAGATTAGAGACAATTCAGAAAGAGGCCACCTGCTTACTAACATCGTGATACTGCTCTGGGCGTCGTGACCCATCCGGATGTAGCTATCATATAAAGTGTTAGCTTGGACTTACGGTGAATACATTGTCTGTCGATTTGGTGGACGTCTCGGAGGAGACTGCCGTAGGTCGTATCGTTGAAGGACTTGAAAAACACTTGCGGGCCGCAATGATCAACTAAAAAGAAAGGAGAGCAGACTAATTAAACAAAGGACGTTTATGCAAAGAAAGGGGAATGCTAATAAAATAAATTTGCACGACATATTGACAAAGATAAGGTAAAAAACTGGGTTTCGAGGAATTCCTTAATGAGTTATTATGACATGACTTACCATTTTGAAGGAAAAGTTGGTTAGAAAGAATTTTTTAAATGGTCTCATTTTCAACGCAATCCTTCAGTTTTCGGTGAAACCATTTCATAAATTCTTTCCAACCTACTTTACCTTTGAAATTAAGTCGTCACGAATAGACAAAGAGCCTGATCTTACTATAGAGCAGATAGCGATCGTCACAGTTTGGAGGATTTACCCATCAAGCGTAAGCCAACATGCATAAAAAAATACTTCCTTAACTCAGTAAGATTTTTATTTTGAGAAAAAAAAATTGGAGGTTGAAAGAGCAAGAGTCAGTAATGATGAATGAACTGGTAAATTTATTTCAATAAGACAAGAATGAAGCGAAAAATCTGGTGTGAACAGGACTAGAATCTTAGAGATGACCTACACAGTATCTCAGATGCTAACTTATTATTTATTAAGACAAGTTTTAGAAGTTGTTTGACCTTGCTTTCGCAACTTGATCATATTGGTAGGAAAACTTAGAGGTACGCACTTAGTCCGGAGTCTATTGTATGCATGATCATTACCAAAGTGGACCGTGGACGTGGTACATTCCCAGACATTTTGCCGACATCGTAGTACATCGTCAGTGAGTCTTGTCATTCTTAGCACCATATTACAACTCGTCAAAGAGGCAAGTGAAGCCGATACTTTGACCAAATGTGTGCCAAATAGTTGTGGTATCTCTCATTCTGTCCTGGGCTATTCACCAACCCTATATCCTCGTATCACGCCTTCACTATCACACTTTTTCTCTTTTGCTTATTTAAATGTAGTGTGGTGTGCCCTTTGGAGCAGCTTTCATGAGAACTCTCCACACTCCACCCTAACGTTCTCATCCTCCTTCACCCTTGTGCTTTGACTGTTGCTCAGAATCTGCCATATTGTTACGCAGTCCTCCTTCCCTAGGTCTTATCAGAGTCTTCCTCTTGCCCCGTAAGATCCGTCTGCTATCTCCCTGGTTCAAGTATTGACTCGACCGCTGCCACCCCATTTGTGCTCCACGAGGCGTTATTTCCCACACTCCGTCTGAGAGGCTAACTTGAGGCTAAAATTGTCATGATCAAGTCTTTGCTTCATTGACCACGTCTCTGGTAAGACAGGCCTACTTTCGGCCAACTAGCGCTAATATTCGCTGCGTTTATCCCTAATACCAAGTCTATGACGTCCTATGCTCTAGTCTCTTGTGTGCTAATCCACAAAGGTTCAATGTTGAACCACAACGAAAACAGGGTCACACAAATTCAATACAACGAAAGGAGACTACGACCAAACAAAAGGCCAGACCATCTTGGTCTTCATATCTTCGATTAAGAAAAATTTTATTGATATGAGGTCTTGGATAAAATTTATTGTGACTCTAGGTGATAAAGGACCTATAGTTGAAGTTTACCACAGACCTTTGGGGAAACAGAGCGTGAGGCCTAGTCATATCATTGTAGAAAAATACGATTGTCAGTTCTTCATCGTTTTACACGATCAAAGATAAGTAAAACGCTTAATTAAGATTTACTGATGGACTTGAAACCGACTCCATATGAATATAAAGGTATTGGCTACAGGGACCTAGTTTAGGTTAAAAAGAAGTAGGCATGTTCCGAATGTTTTAGCTCATCTTCTGAGGACAAATTGATAGACAACGTCAAGAGAATAGAGGAAGTGACAACCTGCAATCATAAATAATCTGATTAAAGTAATTCATTAAACCTTTTATAACTTTGCAAGGTAGAATCTGTACATACATGAGTGGTATATAAATAGTATATAAAAAACCCAATAAAGATAAGAAAATTGTTGCCTACACATGAGATGTTCCCATTCATTTACATGACGATTCGCATAAACAGAGACGAGCTCAGAATACAATTATGTCATTTTATGCAGACATATTCAAATCAGAAGGATTTTCCCCCTTTTCCACGTAAGGGTGGTTTCGGCCTATTCGTAGGTTAACGTGAGTGTGTGGTTTAAATCAGGCTTCAGAGGCCAGCTGTCCTTAACGATAGAATGAGGTCTATTCTTTTTAAGATTGCCTGCAAATGTTAGGCAGGCTGCCTTAGCCTTAGGGAAACGCAACATCAAATTATAATATTTATGGGAAGCGTTAGAACTTACTTTGTACAATGATTCCACCAAACGCGATCGAAATGAAGCCGAATCGACGGAAAGACTGTATTGAATAAGACGGGTATAGATGGGAAGCAGACACAGTAAGAGTTGAGAAGACGCAGAATGGGAGACGATTGACTCCAGAAGCAAGAGACCGTCAAGACGTGTCTGAATAAAGAAAGGAAACAAATAGTTGGTGCGAGTGAGGTAAAGCTAAACTAGCTTAGAAGAGTAACTGGGTTTAGAGGAATCTCCTAAGATAATATTGTTAAGGAGACTTTCATTTTGTATGAAAGTGTATGAAGAGATTCGGAGGTCAATCTCAGCAGAAGAAAACGACTAATTCGCGCTAAATCGCAGTTATTTGGCCTTAATTTGACGTTTAGGTTCACGCAATCAACGGGACATTTGGAAGGCATTTGTAAAGTGACTTTGTCTTAGGGTGAGGATTGTTCGAATGTGAAAATAAATATTCAGCTCGCCATCCTGAGACATCAATGAGTCTGCTCTAAACCACCTTTTTTAAGACCTGTACATTAGTTTTTCTCGTTCTGACGATGTATCTCGAAAGGGATGAAAGCTCAACACGGATTCATCATAGTCATAGGACGGCCAGCCGAGAACTCTTCACACGACCAAAAAGGCTTAAATATAAAGCAATCCTTTGGGTTCCGATGACGCCAACTCATGAACCAACCTTTCTTTCAAATGAAAAACATTGATGGTTTTAGCCAGGCCTGATATTACGATATAGCATCTTGCGAGAAAGGAGTTTGATTCCCTTCCAGCGCGTTTTAATATTTCCAGGAAGTAGAGAGACTCTAGTCCTGACTAAAATTGCATGAAAAAAAGTGTGGTTATTCACCTAATAATGAATGAGAGCTTTAGTGGAATATCATTCAGTCTACAGGAAAGATTTAAAAACACATAACAAAGCAGCATATTAATATCACTTTCAAGTAGCGGTCTCTAAATTAATTTACGCTAAAATCGCAGAAAAGCAGATTTCTGTGATACTCTTTTGGTTGGCAGGACGTTGGCTCGAGTCCTCCCAAGGGTGCTAAGTAGATGCAAGTTGATTAAACCTGAATGAAAATGTAAAGTTGGACCTCCTTTCTACAATTCTGGAAGTAGATAGAGAATTCGACAAGTACAGGAACCATTAAAGTGTAAAGTTAATAATACAGCAAAGATTGGTCGAAGGACGATAAGCTAATTGAATTGAGGCCCAAGAAGTAATAGACAAAAAGTTACACCTCAAGGGAACAATGCCTTATTGCCTACGAATCTGCACAAAAGAAGCTTTTAGTCGGAATAAGAAGGGTTAGCAGCTGGGGCTCGCCAGCTTGGGATATTGGCAAATATCGTAATTCAATCTCTTTTTAAAAGCCGGTCTATGTTATGTCCTAGATAGGGAGGGACTTTCGTAAGTAAACGTGAATTGTTTTATCCTTCAAGGCCGATATATTGGTAGAATACAAGTTATATGAATGGCCCAAATAGAGGAGCCAAAGGTCCAAAACGAATTTGTATGTCAGAAGTACGAATGGAGCAAGCGATAGATGCACAATTCTGAAACTGCCTTGGGCCAAAATAAGTCACAGAAGTGGTATAATCCAACGAGAATGTCATTATAAGCCGAATCAATTTGTATGAAGGAAACGAAGGTGTTTTCAGGAGTGACAGCCAGGCAGTGGAAGAATAATGACCTGTTCATCACTGGACTTGAAAGCATCCGCCAACGCAGGTAGGACGACAGATGTACAGGTCGTGCCACTCAGGTTTGAAGGCTTGGTGAACCACTGGAGCCGATAACAGACGGGCAGTAATGAAGATCGAGGTTTTCGAAGAACTGAAAGGGAAAATAACGAAACAGCTGAGCATAAGAGAGTTGGTTGCTTCAGTCTACGCCACTTCGTCGCATCTTGCGTTTGAGAGTAAGAACTTGACCACTGGGAGTGGAATGAGTTGATAAAATGATGACATGTAAACAAGAAATAGTCCAGACAGTGAAAGAATCAGAGCCTAGGAAACGTATCTCTGCAAGAGAAAAATGAAGGTCGCTTCGGTTCCATGACACATTAATAATATTACGAATGGAGACAAACGGCAAAAGGAAACAAATGCCAACAAGAGTGACATAAAATAAGTTATATGAGATTCATTCAACCTAATTCATAAAAGGTGATGAAGGACTGGTAATAGAATTTTCCCACAATTATGTAAGTAGAGGTGTCGTTTACTTTGAATTTTGCATAGCCTTGCTTTCCCAAAAATGGTTCTCATCCAGGGTGGACTACAGTTTCGACCTAGCCTAGATCTTATCAACACCACATTGCCACTAGTATCCTTGGGTCACAGGTCAGATGTCAATTTTATGGAAGGCCAGGTTTTTTCCATATCATACTCTTTGAAAGGAGTGTCTATTAAGCAAACGTATTTTTACTATAACAATCGATTACATTACTTATTTTTTGTATATAATCTAGCTTTCCTTAAAATTCACATCTGTCCTGTGACCCAAGAGCACTCGTGGCAATGTGGCTGAGTGGTTAACGTTCAGGCTCACATGCTGCACTGTCACGGTT